TGCAAAATAGCTGACACATTTGCCTATAAAACACAGACGCTGCTTTCATCAGTAAGTGCTCGAAGTTCGTTCGACATATTAAGGCGCTATGAAAATGCAAGTGTTTTCTTTCTAAAATACGCTCTGAAATAATGTCAGGCAATTAACTTTTGTAATAAAAAAATTATAATCCTCTGATGTAGTTGAGATGTAGATCACGTAGTTGAGATGTCCCAAAGTGCTTCATAGAATATATTGTAACTGTGATCCACCAATTGACTAACAACCCAGGTTCCTACTTACTGGTAGGAAACCAGATGCGCTGAGTAAGGAAACTTGTGCCCAGAGCTGCAATAAAACATGTACTGGTTTATAATTAAAAGTTATACACATGCGTAACTCGCCACTCCTGAGCCCTGTTTCCTTCGGAGCGACGGATTACTGTTGCACGAATAGGAAGATTACATTAGATCCTTGCATTTGATAAAGCACTTTCTCGTTTCATTTAATAATAATAAATCCATAACATTTCACCCAGGAAATACGCGGTCAATTCACTTTACAGCGAAGCGCTTTGAGACGTCTCGAAGACATGATAAGGCGCTATATCAAATGCAAAGATTATTACTATTATTATTACTGGTGCCAGGCATTGAGAGGCATGCCCTGGTAGATCCAGCTCATTCAGAACTCTCCCGCCCACCTACGTACCCCGATCTCACCTTTCTGGCCCAGGCTCCACTGGCTCCACATCACCGAACGGTGCGACTTCAAGATCCTCTCACTCTCGTGTTCAAATCCCTTCATTCCTTGTCACCTCCCTCCCTCTCTGATCTCCTCACTCCCCAGTCCCTCCGCTCGACTGGCACCGGCCTCCCGCTCGTCCCTCGCACACTCCGCCCCACCATCGGAGGTCGCGCTTTCAGCCGCTGTGCCCCGAAACTCTGGAACACTCTCCCTCAATCCCTCCACCGTGCTCCCTCTCTCCCCTTTTTCAAGTCCTGCCTGAAAACCTTCCTCTTCGATCGTGCTTACGGCCTCCTCCCCACCCCCCCGGCTCGGAGCCACTGTTAAGCGCTCTGAGACACTACCCCGAGTGGAGGGCGCTCCCCAAGTTGTTGTTGGGGAGACAAGAGAACACACGGACTGACCTCTCTCTCTCTTTTCGAGCCCTCGGTGTATGGATTGGATGGAATCTCAATCGTATAAAATCCATTAACTGGTCAAAGTGCAACCCGCGGACAACTGCCAGCCCGGCTCAGGCACTCACGCTCTCTCCTCTGATGTTTGTTATTAAAGGTGGGGGGGGAGAGTTGGATATCAAATGCAAGGATTAGGGAGGGCAAGTTAGTTCGAATCATTTAATTGATGGGAGTGAAAGCTGTTTCTGCTATTGGAAACCCTTTCAGATGAAAGTCTCTTAACCAACAAGTCACTTAAGGGCTGATCCCCAGATTGACCCTCAGTACCTGCAGTCAAACAAACAACCTGGAGGTTGAATAACAACCCACTCACATCAGCCGGACATCCCGAATGTGCTTCGCACGATATACTGTAAAGTGCAGTGACTGTGTATTTTGTAGGCAGTCGATTTGCGCACAGCAGTGTCCCACAGACAGTTACGGCCAAATTTATTTGGAGGATTGTCGGCCAGGACACCGGGAGAGAGAAACCCTTTTCGCGTAGCGTCATGGGATCTTTAAGATCCACCTGGAGAAGCAGACGGGACCTCGGTTTAACACCTCTGACAAGCCATCATCCCCCAGCGCTGCATTGGAGAGTCAGCTTAGACTACGTGATTCCAAATCTGGACATGGGACTGGAACCCACAACTTTCTGACTGAGGTGAGAGTGTTACCACTGAACCGCATGTCTCACGTTCGGTTGACAATGTGAAGTCAGAGGAGACTTCCTTCGGATGAGACGCTAAACCTCACTCCCCCCGTCTGTGCCCTGTTGAGGTGGAGGTTAAAGTTTCCGCGGCGATCTCGGGGAAAAGTGAAGGGTGGTTCCACGTTGCAGGCTGGAACCCTCTTCCCAAATCCCCCCCCCCCTTCCCCACTCCCCCCCACTCGCTCTTCCCCTCCCTCGCCTCCTTCATGCCGTCTCCGACACCAAACCTGCCCCAAGACCTACCTCTTCGACCGGCACTTCTGGGAGTGAGTCACGGCTCCTGTGATAAGAGATTGCGAGCTTTGTGAAAGGCGGAGTGACTCCCAGGTCTACAGGGATGTTCCCCCCCCCTCCACCTCGCACGGCTCAGTCACTACACTGCCAGCGACCACACGGGAACCGGCTCTGGTGTCTTGAGACCATAAAAATACGAAGTTCTTTTTTTCCTTCTACTCTCATCCCCCGCCCCCATTCACACTCACACCCACGCACAAATCTACAAGCATACACACACACACGCACATGGACACATGCACGTCTCTCTCACACACACGCACATAGACACATACACGTCTCTCTCACACACACACGCACATGGACACATACACGTCTCTCTCACACACACACGCACATGGACACATACACGTCTCTCTCACACACACGCACATAGACACATACACGTCTCTCTCACACACACACACGCACATGGACACATACACGTCTCTCACACACACACACGTACATGGACACATACACGTCTCTCACACACACACACACACACACACACACGCATGTGCTGCAGAAACAAGTCAGGACATTTGTCGGAACAGATTTTTTTAAAAAAATTTGGACAATTCACAATTTTTTTCTCCGAAAAGTGCATCGCGAGAGAGGTCAGAGTTCACAGCACATTAAAACACAGCGGTAATGAGGTGGGGGCGGTGGAGGGGGGAGAAATGTTGAGGCCTCAAAAATACATCACAGATTGTAACAGGGGATTTGCAAACAAAACTTAGGAGGGAGTTGATTCCGTGACACCAACAACAACAACAAGATTACATTTGTACAGCGCCTTTCACGTCGGGAGGACATCCCAAGAACGTCAACAAACAGCTCATTGTGAATTAATCATCACCATAATAATAATAATAAGTGGGACAATACCAAATCTCATGTTCTCTCCTCTCCTCACCCCCCTCCCCACCCCCCCCCACCCCGCGCCCCACACACACACACCCTTCCTCCCACTCCCTCAACTTTGCGTTGCCTCAAAATGATAAAGGCGTTAAAAAAAAAAAAGATGTCAGGGCTGAGGCTCGGGAGAATTAGAAGGCGGCGAGGGTACAAGGCCGGCCTGCAGCAGCAATAGGTTTTCCTGAAATAACGGGTGACACAGCACTATACCAGCGACTATAACCATCTTTACGTTAGCTTACACCCACGCGTCATTGTGTGCGTGTTCGTGTGTATGTGAATGTATGTGTGTGTGTGTGTGTGTGCATGAGTGTGCGCGGGTGACGTCTCACAGGAAAAGGCTGTTCAGCCCCATGACCTTCCATCAGATCATGGTTGATCTGTACCTCAACTCCAATCACCCGCCTTTGCCCCGTATCCCTTGATACCCCTGGGGAGACCTGACAAAAATGAAGTCCGCCCCCCCCCCCCCCACCCCCTCTCTATTCTTCTGTCTCTCACTCACTCTCTCTGTCACTTGCGCACGTATGTGTGTGTGTGTGTTTGCGCTTGTACGAGTGTATGTCTGTAGGAACTCTTGCTTGATATACCGCCTTATCACGTCATTGAGACCCCTCGGAGCGCTTCACAGACTGGATTTATCAGCCGGATGTTCCGTTTGCTCTGTCACCCTCTCCCCTCGGCCCCGGGGAGCGATTTGGCTGCAGTCAAATTCACCAATAAATATTATGTTAGACACAACCTTCAGCGGGCGGGGGGGTGGGTGGGGAGGGAGAGGGGGAGAGCGGGGGTGGGGGCAGACAGTCACACACTGCCTGATCGACAGCGGAAAGCCTTGCTATGTTCCCGTGCCGGCAGAAGTCGCTTGCTTCATTTGACTTCAAAAGCGCTTTCGAGACGACAATTTCGCATCGGTTCAAGTCGCCGTTGAAGCACGAGAAAAGGAAGTTTTCTCGGAAGTTTTTTTTCCTCCCTCCAGCGAGAAAGAGTCGTCGTGGTTCTGAAACGGCCGTCGCTGTCGCCTGGCAAACGCAGTGGCGGGACCTTCCGGCGAAACCCCCCCCGCCACCCCCCGCGAGACGTCCTCCCGGTCGGGAAGGGCGCTGTGTGGGTCACGGCAAGAGTTGCTGCTGTTGCAGTAACATTCTAAGGTGTCCAGTGCAGCGTGTTTGCTCACATATGTGTGAACGGTTTTTCTCTCTCTCTCTCTCTCTCTCTCTCGCGTCGCCATTGGCTGACTAACTGTTCCGTGTCCGTGTCCGCCAACAGTCTGGGCTTGGCTCAGTCGCCAGCACTGTCTCCCACCAGCAGCATGTCGAGACACACATATGTGCCGGACACGGAGTGGGGAAGGCGAGACACGCACACGCACGTGAGCAGACAAAGAAACAGATACACACACGCAATTGAACAGATGAACACCCACACACACACAGGCTTGGACGGATGGAGAGTCACATACATGCACATGGATGATTGGAAAGAGAGACCCATGTGTGGATGAACAGAGATGCACACGCCCATGGACTGATACAGACACACACACACACAGAGAAGAACAGAGGGACTGAAACACATGTGGATAGACGGATGCATACACACACACACAGATGGATCGACAGAGAGACGTATCGACACACAGATAAACAGAGAGCGTAACATACGTATAAGTGGATGGACGGACACACACACGCACACACATACATATGGTTGGTCAGAGAGACTGACATATAAACATACACACACACACACGATCGAAACAAATACACTCAGATGGAAAGAGAGACGTATACACACATACACAGATGTATACACACACACATACACAGATGTGTACACACACACATGTATATACACACACATGTATATATACACACACATGTATAGACACACACACTCATACACACAGATGGAGTGACTCCGGCTGTTCACAGACTCTGCCGCTGCCCGTTACCCGGTATCCTTGACGGGTGGGGGCGCGAGGTGGGCTCTGACCTCCACGGTGACGGGTATCTCCTTGCAGCCCTCCACCGAGCAACGGGTGAGGGCGCTGGCGACCAGACACACCTTCCTGAGGAGGATCTCCCGGAGCAGCAGGTACACCCAGGGGTCCAGGATCTGGTTGAGCGAGGCCAGGCGGATGGTGGTCAGCAGGAAGTTACACTCCCCCCTCAGACCGGCGTCCTCAGCTTGCTCCTCGTCCCGGGGGAACGCGTAGCAGTGAATCAAGGAGCTCTCCATGTGAATCATCTGGACCATCTGGATCTGCGGAGACGGGAAATACAGTTCATCACTCGGAAGACACTGACTTAACAGGCTCTGCGTAGACACAGTATGGCCGGTGTGTGAGTCCCACACGCAGCCCTGCAGCTCAGAGCGCTCGCCTCGCAAGCGAGAGGACCCTGGTTCGATTCCCAGGCAGTGGGCAAAACGTGACGCAAGTTTCCTCACTCCACACACACGCGCCCCCCCCCCCCACCGCTCGCCCCCTCTCTCACGCCCCCTCCCTCACGCCCCCTCCCTCCCCCTTGCCCCAGACTATTCTTGACTTTGAAGTGGTCGAGCGCAGCCAAACATAAATCTCGCAGTGAACATAAATAAATAAAACGAGCAGCTGAATGGAAAGATCATATACTTTCGCTCCTTTTCTACCCTTTTCTATTTGTGCCGCGTTTCGCCCACAAAATGCACAGCCACTACACTTTACGGTGTACCCCGTGAAGCGCTTTGAAACGTCTCGAAGACGTGATAAGGCGCTGTATCAAGCGCGAGGATTATTATTGCTATCAACTTATTATTATTAATATAACAAATCACTAGGGAACGCAGACCCCGTGTGATGTGATCACTAAAACTTCTCCCCCGCGCTCTGTCCACTGCAAAGCCTTGAGTCGATGACGAAATGGGGGGGGGGAAGTGGAGTGGGGAGAGATGTGATATCTTGGATTCCTTTCTTGCTTCGGGTCATTCGCAGTCGACAAGAGTTCTGAAATTGTTTATTATTTCACCCTCCGCCCGGCCCTCTTCCCCACCCCACCCTCCGCCACCGGCCCCACTCGCCCCCTCTCTCACGCCCACTCCCTCCCTTTGCCCCAGACTATTCTTGACCTTGAAGTGGTTGGGATTAGTCAAACATAAACGTGTAAATCTCACAGTAAATATAAATAAATAAAACCAGCGGCTGAATGAAAAAATCAGCAGGTTTATTTTTATATAGAGATATATATATTTTTTCACTCCGTTTCTATCCCCCACCACTGCCACCCCACTCCGTCTCCTCCCCACTCCTCCCAGATTCCAGCCATTGCATGAATCTAGTTCCATCCACTCCCTCACTCCCCTATGCCCCACTCTCAGAAGCAGCGGTTCTGATCGCTGCATCTCAGTCTCACTCCACATCTCTGTAATCATAATCCTTGCACCTGACACAGCGCCTTATCACGTCTTCGAGACGTCTCAAAGCGCTTCGCAGGATACACTGTAAAGTGTAGTGACTGCGTGGTTTGTGGGCGAAATGCGGCAGCCAATTGCGCACACCGGCGTCCCCACAAACAGCCGTGGATTGAAGTGACCAATTTATTATTATTTTTTTGATGGGTTACATCGAGCGTGTGGAGTAAGGAACCTTGCCCAAGGTTTCACCCTCCTGGGAATCAAACCCAGGTCTCTCGCTCGCAAAGCGAGTGCTCTAACCACTGAGCTACAGGACTCCACTTTACTAGAATGGTACCAGAGATGAGGGACTTTAGTTATGTGCAGAGAATAGAGAAGCTGAGATTGTTCTCCTTAAAGTGGAGAAGGTCGAGGGGAGATTTAACAGAGGTGTTCGAAATGATGAGGGGTTTTGATAGAGCCGATAGGGAGAAATTGTTCCCATCTGGCTGGAGGGTCGGTAGCCAGAGGACACAGATTCAAGATAATTGGCAAAAGAACCAGAGGGCAGATGAGGAGAATATTTTTTTTTACACAGAGAGCTGTTACGGTCTGGAATGCGCTGCCTGAAAGGGTCGGTGGAAACAGATTCAGTAATAACAAAAGGGAACTAAATAGGTACTTGAAAAGGAAAAAAAATTGCAAGGAGAGAAGGGGGAAGTGGGATGGATTGGGCAGCTCCTCCAAAGAGCCGGCACATGGGCCAAATGGCCTCCTTCTGTGCTGTAATTCGAATTACAAGATCCTCGAATTCAAGATCCTCATCCTCACCTACAAGGCCATTCACGGCCTCGCTCCCTCCTACCTCTCCGACCTACTATCCCCTACCTACCCGCCCGTACCCTCCGTTCCTCTGCCTCCGGTCTGCTCCACATCCCCCGCCCCAACCGCCCTACCATCGGTGGCCTTCAGCCTCTCAGCCCCGAGGCTCTGGAACTCTATCCCCCAGTGCCTTCGCTGCCTCCTCCCTTTCCTCCTTCAAGGCCGGTCTCAAGACCTTTCTCTTTGACCTTCAGCCTTCAGCTCCCCTCTCGACTCTCTACCCCCTCCTCGCTCCCTCCCTACCCTCCCCTCACCCTGACCATTTCCCCCCCTGCGCGGGTCCCGACCCAACTGTCCAGCGCCTTGGGACGTCCTCCAAGACGTGGAAGGCGCTCTCTAAATGGAATCTTGTTGTTGTTGTTGTTGTAATATACTATGATTCTATGAGATCGCTAACAATTCAGCCGGGATGCTAAAATACTGCGGCGGTAGCAGGCACAGAGCTCAGAGCATCCGTGACTCACTGGTTCCATTATTTATTTAGATCTGAATTGAATTAGTGTAAAGATTTCTGGCCCCGAGTTGGTGGTTTAGTAACACACACATCATCTGTTATGAATGCCAGCTCCGGCTCGAAAAGAATTGCAATTTATCTTCATCTGACAGTCGGTGTTTGATGTTTGGCTGCTGCGGTATCTGTTAGGTGTGTGTGGGTTAGTGTGTGCGTGTGCGTGCGTGTGTGTAAGTGATTTGGAATCTGGTTACTAATAATGGGGTAATAATTCGCAATCCTTTCTCAAGTTCAAGAATTCTCTCCCGTTATTAATAACAATAATAATAGTAATCCTCGCGATTGCTACTGCGCCTTCACCACATCGCCGAGACGTCTCACGGGGTTTCACTGTAAAATGTAATGACTGTGTGTTTTGCGGGCGAATACGGCTGCTAATTTGCACACAGCGATGACAGTTGCAAACAGCAGTAAAGTGGGGGATGGTCAACTGATAGAGAGAGAGAGAGAGAGAGAGAAACTTTCTCTTTTCCTACAGCACGGAGGGATCTTCACCGTCCACCTGTACAGGGTACAGACAGGAGCTAAGATTAACGTCTGTCCCGAATGACTGTGTCTCCAACAATGCGGTGCTCTCTACCTTCCCCCTCCGCCCCCCCGCCCCCGCCCCCGCCGCCACCCAAACCGTCTCTCACACACAGCACTGCGTTGGAACATCAGTCCGGGTCTGTGAGTTCAGAATCTTCTGACTCAGATGTGCAACCGTTATCGACTCAGCCAGGCTGACACATGGAATAATTATTATTCTATTCCAACCACGAGAGAACGGGAAATGCGGAGAGATCAGGAGACACTGTAAATCCTGTCAAAACAATTAATGAGCCTCGCAAGTGATATAGTCCAAATCTACAGCAGGAAAAACGTGGCGTTTGGCCAAATTAGTCTGTGGCACTGTTTCCGCTCCACACGTACCTCCTATTCCTCTCCATTCCTTTCTACCCCGTGCACTCATTGAGTTTCCTCTTAAATGGAGTCCTATAGTGTAGTGGTCAGAGCACTCGCCTCATAGTATATTCTATGAGGCGCTTTGAGGCGTCTCAACGACGTGATAAGGTGCTGTATCAAATGCCAGGATTATTATTACACACACTGTCCAGGGCGATGGCTTGAATAGGTTTGACTGGATCGCTCTTGGTGGGAGTTGGGGAAGGTGATGAGTGGCAGCGGGGGGGGGGGGGGGAGAGGGGGAGAGGGAAAGGCCGATCAAAAAAGGCTTCAAGTGGCGAAGGAGGCGGGGAGGGGGTTAGGGTGGGGGGGAAAGGGAATGGGGGTTAAAAGCCTGCCTGCCCACCATTGGTGGTGTGTGAGTGGGTGGTTGGGGGGTGGGGGGCGTGGGGCACATGACACAGGCTGGTAATTGATGAGAGGATGGAGCAGGGAGATCACAGAGATAATGTTAAAGTGCAGGAAGAAGCGAGGGGAAGATACGATCAAAATTTGCTGGTAGCAGAGAAAGGGTGAACGAAGCGAGAGGGAGGTCATAGCAGTAGCACCCGATCATGTTCTCTCATCAGCTACAGAGATGTCCCACCACCCTCCCACCCCCACCCCTTACCCTGTGAAGCGCTGTGAGACATGTCTCAACCACCTAATAAGGCGCTATACCAAATGCAGGGATTTTTATTAATATTATTATCGTTTTGATGTAGAACCTCAGCCCATTGTCCAAAAAGCACTTCACAGGAATCACTGTGAAGTGTCATCACTGGTATCCATAGCCAATTTGCACATAGCCACACCTCACAAACAGCCATGAAGCCCATGCTCAATATTATTATTTCTGGGGGATTGTTGGCCAGGACAAGGGGGTGGGGGTGGGGGGGGGGGTTGTTGTGGAGAGAGAGAAACTCTCTTCTCTATCTGAATAGCGTCGGGAGGGCTTTATCATCCATCTGAACAGGGCACAGACGAGAGCTCGGTTTAACGGCGGCAAATTTACATTTTTGTGTCTGGAGCTGTGTCCCGAGTCACTGGAAATCCAGGGTTTGCACTGGAGTGTAAGCGGGGGGAGGGGAGGGGGAGTGGGGCAATTTAACTGACAATGCAGGACTCCCCCCAGCACTGCTCTGGAGTGTTAGCCTGGACTGTGAGCTCCAAGACCCCAACTTGGGGCCTTGAACCAACGATCGTCAGACTCAAAAGGTGAGAGCGTTACCCACTGAGCCGGGCTGACACCTTGACGTTTGGAAACAAGATCTCAAATCCGTGTGGGAAGAAGCCAAGGGGAGAGGGGAGGGATCAGCAGGAAAGAGGAGGAGCCAGTGGGAGGGGCGGAGTCAGCAAGTAGGGGGGGGGAACCAGCGGGAGAAGGGAGGAGCAAGAGAAAGAGGGAGGAGCGAGCGGATGAGGGGCGGTGTTAGTGTAACCTGTTGGAAAATGTACACATTTGGGTAGACCCAATGGCCAAATGGCCTCTTTAGTGCAGTCACCTCTCTAAAGGCGCCATGACAGGCTGACATCGCTCACCCCCACGCCTCCTCTCCTGTCCCCTTGCATCTCCATCCCCGTTGGAGCCCTGTAGCTCAGTGGTTAGAGCGCTCGCCTTGCAAGCGCTTTGAGACGTTTCAGCGAACGTGATAAGGCCCTGTATCAAATGCGAGGGCTATTAACATCATTATCATCTGCACCACTCCTGCTCCCCAGCCCAAGTCATTCGCTCACACCCTCCCTCCCTCCCTCCCTCACTCACCAGAAGAGGCAACCAGCACACGCCAAGCACACACATGATCCCCGTCAGCTGGACCATTGTCTCAGTGGTGATTCGTTCCCAGCGGTGGGCAGACGAGGAGGTGAACTTCCTGCAGCGGTTGACCAGCCCGCAGATGGTGGCCACGTTGCAGGTGAAAGTGACGAGCAGCGAGGTGATGCCCAGCACCGTGAAGGTGAAGGCAAAGACGGTGTCAGCCAGGGCGTGGCTGCTGAGGTCGATGAAGCACCAGGTCCCCGGCCATTGCAGCGTGTACCTGCCCACCCCCATGGCGGGCAGCGAGGCGAACAGCCCCGCGCTCACCCAGATGGCCAGCACCACAAGCTTGGTCAGTCTGGAGCAGAAGTGGTTGGCGTACCAGTGAGGGGCGTGGACTGCCAGCGTCCGCTCGACAGCCATGGCGCTGGCTAGGAAGAGCGGGCAGAGCCCAAACGTGGTCATGCACACCCCGAAGAAAGTGCACAGGTTCCGCGACGGGTCCACCAAGTCCCACTTCCTGTTGGCCAGGTAGACCGAGATGACTATGGGGGTGGTGAGAAGTTTGCCCATCAGGTCGGTCAGCGCCAGGGCTCCCAGCATCATCAGGAAGGCCCTCTTCCTCTTGTTCTCCTTCTTCTTGTAGGACCTGCAGACCAGAGCCAGGGCCAACGTGTTGCCCAGGAGCCCAGCCAACATCATGGCGACTGGGAAAGCCACAGAGACCGACACACACTCGGGTCGGTTGGCCAGAGATTGGGTCAAACTAGAGTTGGTCAAGTTGGACATCGTTGCTTCCTTGGACCCATTGGACTCTTGGCTCAGTGAGAAACACTCCATCACTGTCTTGAACGATCCACCTTCACTCCAAATCCAACTCCTGGTGGTTTCTCTCTCTCTGTTGGGAGATGATCTCTCTCTCTCTCTCTCTCTCTCACTCTTTCTCACTCACTCTCCTCTTCCTGGTTTGTTTGGGCTGTAACAAGATTTATATCAAGGAGAGAGAGGGGCGTTGCATTCAACTAAGAGCCAATGTCTCTTCCTTTTTTTTTTGCAACTGATCCATTCGCAAAGGGTGGAGTTTAGTGTGTGATGGAGAGGAGTGAGGGAGTGAGACAAGAGAGATCAGCCTGAACTGGACAGAGAGGGGGAGAGTCAGAGTGATGGAGAGATTGGGTGTGTGCGAGACAGAGGATCAGCCTGAACTCACCCAGAGATGGAGAGGAAAGAGTGAGTGTGTGTGAGAGACAGAGAGAGTGATTGTGTGTGTGTGTGTGTTTGAGACAGAGAGTGTGTGACAGAGTGATTGTGTGTGTGAGACAGAGTGAGGGTGAATGTATGTGTGAGTGAGACAGAGTGATTATGTGTGTTTGAGACAGTGTGTGTGAGTGTGTGTGAGTGAGTGTGTGTGCAAGACAGTGTGTAAGACAGTGTGAATGTGGATGTGTGTGAGACAGAGAATCTGCCTGTAATCGACCAGAGAGATGGAGAGGAAAGAGTGAGTGTGTGTGAGAGACAGAGAGAGTGATTGTGTGTGAGACGGAGTGATTGTGTGTGACAGTGATTGTGTGTGTGAGAGTGAGTGTGTTACAGCAAGTGTGTGTGATTGTATGTGTGAGAGACAAGAGTGAGTGTGTGTGACAGGGATTGTGTGTGAGAGTGATTGTGTGTGAGTGATTGTGTGTGACAGGGATTGTGTGTGAGAGTGATTGTGTGTGAGTGAGTGTGTGACAGGGATTGTGTGTGAGAGTGATTGTGTGTGAGTGAGTGTGTGTGACAGGGATTGTGTGTGAGAGTGATTGTGTGTGAGTGAGTGTGTGTGACAGGGATTGTGTGTGAGAGTGATTGTGTGTGAGACAGAGTGAGTGTGTGTGATAGCGAGTGTGTGTCAGAGAGGTGTGTGTGAGACAGAGAGAATGTGTGCGTTAAGAGTCAGAGAGTGAGTGTGTGAGAGACAGAGTGAATGTGTGTGTGAGACAGAGAATCAGCCTCTAATCGACGAGAGAGATGGAGATGAAAGAGTGAGTGAGTGTGTGTGTGTGTGAGAGAGTGAGTGATGGAGAGAAGAGTGAGTGTGTGTGTCAGAGAATCAGCCTGAAATCGACGGACACAGAGAGAGTGATGGAGAGTGAGAGTGAGTCAAGAGGGAGTTTTTTTTAAAACTTTTAATCCTTGCATTTGATATAGCGCTTTTCACGTCGGGAGAACGTCCAAAAGCGCTTCACAGAACACACTGTAAAGTGAATTGACTGTATATTTGTGGGCGAACGCGGCAGCCAATTGCGCACAGCAATGTCCCACAAACAGCCGCGGATTGAAAATGACCAATTTATTATTGTTTTTGGTTTTGGAGGGATTATTATTAGGCGTTTCACAAAAATAGAGATAAGAATGAGATGAGATAGTCCACACCATAGCGTATGTTTGAACAAGTTCTGCCCCCTGGTGTGTGTTCCTTACGCACAACAAAAAAAAACATCTTAATGCAAGACAATTGAACGTGTAGGTGAAAAAATCATCCTCGCATTCGCTATAGCGCCTTATTATGAAGAGTACACGAATCCAAAATGTCAAAAAATTCACATTTTGGTAGTTTTTAAATCGCTAGAAATGTCAGTCAATTCTTAATGTTACTCGATTTATTCCGATCTATTTCACGGACTGTTTATTTTGGGCATTCCGGCATTTAATCAAAGTGATGTTTGTACAAATTAAGTATGAATACATTTATCAGGAATTTCATAAGATGAGGTTTTCAAAGAAAAAGTGACCTCATAAAATTTTTGTGCTAATACAATTTAAGTATAATCTTGTAAGTTTATTTTGTTTATATAATTGTTAATGATTTACTGTAATTGTTGGATTATGCTTCGGAGAAACGGGTTCGGGTGAGTGATCTTAACGGATGATCTGCAAAGAGAACAGTCAAATAGAAGAGAAGAAATGGAAACTAACAGAAGTAGCAATCGCTGGTTCAATTGCTAGAATAATACGGCACAGAAGGAGGCCATTCGGCCCATCGTGTCTGTGCCCGTTCTTTGAAAAGAGCTATGCAATTAACCCCACTCCCCCACTCTCTCCCCATAGCCCTGATCAACCCCACTGCCCCGCTCTCTCCCCATAGCCCTGATCAACCCCACTCCCCCGCTCTCTCCCCATAGCCCTGATCAACCCCACTCCCCCACTCTCTCCCCATAGCCCTGATCAACCCCACTCCCCCACTCTCTCCCCATAGCCCTGATCAACCCCACTCCCCCGCTCTCTCCCCATAGCCCTGATCAACCCCACTCCCCCGCTCTCTCCCCATAGCCCTGATCAACCCCACTCCCCCGCTCTCTCCCCATAGCCCTGATCAACCCCACTCCCCCGCTCTCTCCCCATAGCCCTGATCAACCCCACTCCCCCGCTCTCTCCCCATAGCCCTGATCAACCCCACTCCCCCGCTCTCCCCCCATAGCCCTGATCAACCCCACTCCCCCGCTCTCTCCCCATAGCCCTGATCAACCCCACTCCCCCACTCTCTCCCCATAGCCCTGATCAACCCCACTCCCCCGCTCTCCCCATAGCCCTGATCAACCCCACTCCCCCGCTCTCCCCATAGCCCTGATCAACCCCACTCCCCCGCTCTCTCCCCATAGCCCTGATCAACCCCACTCCCCCGCTCTCCCCCCATAGCCCTGATCAACCCCACTCCCCCGCTCTCCCCCCATAGCCCTGATCAACCCCACTCCCCCGCGCTCTCCCCCATAGCCCTGATCAACCCCACTCCCCCGCGCTCTCCCCCCATAGCCCTGATCAACCCCACTCCCCCGCTCTCCCCCCATAGCCCTGATCAACCCCACTCCCCCGCTCTCCCCCATAGCCCTGATCAACCCCACTCCCCCACTCTCCCCCCATAGCCCTGATCAACCCCACTCCCCCACTCTCCCCCCATAGCCCTGATCAACCCCACTCCCCCCTCTCTCCCCATAGCCCTGATCAACCCCACTCCCCCCTCTCCCCCATAGCCCTGATCAACCCCACTCCCCCACTCTCTCCCCATAGCCCTGATCAACCCCACTCCCCCACTCTCTCCCCATAGCCCTGATCAACCCCACTCCTCTCCCCCATAGCCCTGATCAACCCCACTCCCCCCTCTCCCCCCATAGCCCTGATCAACCCCACTCCCCCCCACTCTCTCCCCCATAGCCCTGATCAACCCCACTCCCCCACTCTCTCCCCATAGCCCTGATCAACCCCACTCCTCTCCCCATAGCCCTGATCAACCCCACTCCCCCGCTCTCCCCCCATAGCCCTGATCAAACCCACTCCCCCGCGCTCTCCCCATAGCCCTGATCAGCCCCACTCCCCCACTCTCTCCCCATAGCTCTGCAAACTTGTCCTCCCCAATTATCTACTCTCTTAAATGTTGTTATCGAATCGGCTCCCACCAGCCTTTCAGGCAATGCATTCCAGATCCCAACAATGTTTTCGCTGTGTGAAAACATTTCTCCTCACCGCCCCTCGGTTTTAACAAAATTTTAACTCGGTGCCCTCGGGTTACCGACCCACTCGCCAATGGGAATAGTTTCTCCACATTAAACTTCATCTGCCCCGTGTCTGCCCATGTTACCAGTCTGTCTATGTCCATTTGCAGTCTGTTACTATCCTCCTCACTGTTTACCACTTTTCAGCTTAGTATCATCTGCAAACTTGGAAATTGTCCTCCCTATACCCAAGTCCAGGTCATTTATATAGATCAAAAACAGCTGTGGTACCCAATACTGACCCCTGGGGGGCACCTCCCTCCAGTCAGAAAAACAACCATTTACCACGACTCTCTGCTTTCTGTTTCCCCACCAATTCTGTATCCATGCTGCTACCGGACCCGTTAATACCTTGGGCTTCTATTTTGCTTACTAAGTCAGTAGTTAAAAATGATCACAGATAAGAAGTATCCAGGTATTATTGTACGTTCAATTCAATCACTCCAAAGTATCCAAGTATCATGGCACATCCAATTCTGTTAATTGCATTTCCAATTCTATGCCATTCCTTCTTCAATTCTTTCTTCTGATTTTCTTCAGCATCAGTCTCCGTTTAACAGTTCGTTAGATGACCTTTCACATATTGTCTTTTGTAAAAACAAATGCAACATAGCTCTCTCCAGCTGCAAACCATTTTTTCATGAGAAAATGACTGATAAGGAATGAAAACAGTTTGTTGTTTAAAGTCTTTTATTTCTCCTCCTTGAGCAAAGATCTTCTTCAAAGCTCGCCACAACCAGCTCCCCTCATAGGAGATTGATCATATGTCTCAAACATATAAACATTGCAAATATAATTTGAGATATTATTTAACACATTAATTACAGAAATCCTAAATAACCCCCGTCAGCTCTCACTCCCAGGTGAGGATGCAGGCCAGTGTCAAGCACTTTCAGATATCTCCTCGACGCGAAATCGCTATGTAAGTTGTGCATAATGGATTTTTCTTATATTTCACAATATATCTGCTTGATGCTACAAAGTGATTAACAAGCGAGTCTCAGGATTTGTAAATAGTGAATCCTGTGTTATATTTCGCTCCTCCTCACCCCCCCCCAATCCCTCCCATTACCATCGACCTCTAGACTCTCCCCATTCTCACTAATTCCAATCCAGACAGAACCCCTCCGACTCACCCTCACCCTTCCCTCCCTCCTGCTGTCAAACCCAGTCTCAGCACTTACCTCTTTGACAGCACTTTCGGTCATCTTTTCTTTTCAAATAGCGCCATGGGACCTTTAACACCCACTTGAACAGGCAGAC